GTGTGGGTGTGGGTGTGTTTGTGTGTGTGTGTGTGTGTGTGTGTGTAGTTTGTTGAATCAGTGAAAGCAAGAAGGGAGGAAAAACATATAGAAAGGAAAGGAAGGAGAGGGAGGGCACGAGGGAGGGAGGAAAGGGAGAAGTATTGGGGTATGAATGCAGGGATCGAGAAGAAAGATTAAAAAGAGAGGCAGTACGGTTTTTTGAGAGGACACGGTTTCTATCATGTGTGTGCATGTTTGCAGTTGTCTGCTTATGCGAGAGAGGTTGTGAAAGAGGAAGAATGGATCAGGACAAGCATGCGAAGAAAGGAAGGCGGAGTGGCAAGGGTAAAACTGAGAAGCAGGGACAAAGGATGAGGGGAACGTTTATCGTTTGGGTATATGTAGATAGACAAGGAAGTATGCATTGAAGAGTGTAGGTAGGGTTGTCTCGAAGTTGCGAAGGAGAGGGAGAGGGAGAGGAAAACACAGTGCTAGACTGCATAGCGAAGCTGTGGTTTCAACGAGGAGCTGATGTGATCAGTACTGACCATTAAGTTATCATGACCTTGGCTGGTCGGCAGGCTTATATTTCGACTGCCCAACTGTTTTTCGACTGTTAGTTGAACGACATGTTGATGAGGCGAAGCAAGACAAGGAGGAAGCAGAAGGTAGGTGCTTTTTGTATATTTGAATGCATCCCTTAGCATTGAATCACATGGTTCATTTTTGACGTCCATGACCCGTAGACAGCGGAGGATTCATAGAGGTGTTCAATAAGTGCAAAATGCAAATATAAATGATGTTTTGTGAACTTCAAAGCTACCGCACAATAGTGTGACGCATTGGGTAGAACTTCAGCTTATTCATGAAGGACGGGGCGGAGCGGAGAAGCTAGGGCTTACCAAGAGGACTGCCAAGTGGGACAAGCTAGTAGTTGCGGTATTATGTGCCTGTCTCTTATACACATCTAGATGTGTATAAGAGACAGGGTCGACCATGCAAGGGAATAAGGGAGCCTGGTATACTGGGCGCACCTAGATGAAGCATGCAAGGCTGCCTAACTAGGGCGTGAGGGCCGGCAAAGGGTAGAAAGATGATGGGTAAGGGAATTACTGTCTCTTATACACATCTAGATGTGTATAAGAGACAGGCCTCTGTGTTCCTAGCATGTACGAGCCACGTAGCCTGTGACATCTGTCTGCGCCGTGCCATTCGATGCAGCAACTGTGACTGCAAAAATTGGAT